AACAATTGTAATGTTTGTCTTGTTTTGAGTATAATATATGACTCGAAGGTCTGACAAGACTTGTAATTATTTAGTGCCACTATCTTATGGCTAATCATAAAAGGTTACGATTAGGCATAAAATGTTTCACTTGTTTGCATACTTATCATTAGTCATATCCTGTGCTGTATTTTCTCCCTAATGTGTTATCTCTTAATATTATGTAAAGACGTCTTCATAACTGCAAGACACCCTTAAAATCGATGTTTTGGTTCATAGAAATAAAATAGCGATCATTTAGCTGTCATTCACTGCTATTTAATTTGCAATACATATAATATAAATATAATATTTATAAATTCAAAGCAATCACACAATAAATGACTTTATTATTTCAAGTCCAACGACCTCTCCATCGAGAGAATGAGTTTGAAAGTTATCCGCATTTGAAACTCACTTTAAACGAGAGGTCTTTTAATGGCTTTTATTTTTGTTTTTGCTGCTCATCTGTCGCTCCTATTATGATATATAGCATAATAGATGGGCTAAAATCGCTTCATAAATACCTGTTCTCTCATCAAAACCCAATAGCTTTCCTTTTTTGCCTCAAATATCAGATTTACAAGTGTTTAGAATTTCAAACTTATTATCCATTGCTTTATCCATTCCTTTCACTATTATCTGATGGTTAATATGAGTACCAATTGATTAATAGCTGTTAGAGGATGTCTGGAGCGGAGCAGAACGGTGTGACCTCAGCCATGAAGTTTGACCCTGATGACCCCGAGTGCCAGCGCCAGATGTGGAGACCGCCCGACATCGATCAGGACATGAAGGAAATGGATCGCCGCAAACGGGTTGAAATGATTATGAATAGTCAGGTCTTCAGAGAGGAATTGGAGCGCATCATAGAGTCGCAGCTAAATGAGGGCTATTTGCCGGCCAGTCTGTCAGCCCTCCAACAGGTCACTGAACTCCTACTGCCGCACTCGGCACGCGGCTCATCCCTCTCGAAACTGGGCCACTCAGGGATGCCCATCAACGACATCCGAGGCATCGATGGCTTTCGATACGCCAAAGGAGAGAAACTTCTTCGCTGTAAACTCGCAGCTGTCTATCGACTGGTAGACCTCTACGGATGGTCTGAAGGCATCTATAATCACATCACTGTATGTGTTGTTGTTTTTGAATTAATTACAAAAAGTGTTATTAAATAATGACTTGAATTGAAGGCACGCGTCAGTCAAGACACCGAACATTTTTTGTTGAATCCATTTGGCCTCCAATACCATGAAGTGACGGCGTCGACACTCCTCAAAGTCGATATGCAGGGAAACGTGATCGATCCCGGCTCTACTAACTTCAGTTTCAACAGGTATTCAACGCAATCCAACACTTCATTCAAAAGGCATTCATTTTATTCTCAATGTTATAATCGATTGATTTTAGGGCCGGTTTTGTTCTTCACTCAGCCATCCATTCTGCGCGACCAGACATTAAAGCAGTCATTCATTTACATCACTCCCCCTGTGTTGCTGTCTCTGCCATGAAATGTGGACTTCTGGCCGCCAGTCAAGAGGCAGCCATTTTAGGTGATGTTAGTTATCATGACTACAATGGGCTGCTAATAGATCCAGAAGAACGCGAACAAATAGGCAGAAATTTGGGTCCATTTAATAAAGTAATTGTTTTTTAATCTGTTTAGACATTGCTTGTAATTAATTAGTTATTTGTGTCTTATTAAAGGTATTGATTTTGCGAAACCATGGGGTACTCACCTGTGGAGAGACCGTCGAAGAGGCGTTATATTTGATGCAAAACTTAGTGATCGCATGTGAAACACAAATAAAGCTTATGTCGTGTGGATTAGACAACATTAGGATCATGTCTACTGAAGCCGTAGAACAGGTTCGCTCGATCATCAAAGCCTCCGGCACTCAAGTGCAGGGAAAGCCTCCGACTACTGACGACTCGTCGGTTGTGCTCTCGAATCGAGAGAAAGGCGAGAATAAGGAGAAACTTAAGAAATGGAAGGTTTGGGACCTCGAGTTTGAGGCACAGATGCGGATGTTGGACAACGCCGTGAGTGACCATTGTTTACGAATAACCATTTGGTTGTTAATAGCGTTGTATTTGCAGGGATTCCGTACGGGATATCTGTACAGACAGCCACTCCTGAGAGCAGACCAACAGCGCACTAAGTACGACGTGGAAGAGCCGCCCTCTGCCTCCTCTTTGGCCCATTACCTCGAAGAAGACAAATGGTTGAGTCCACTGAAGAAGTTGGTTGAAGGCCGACGAACCCAAGACAAGCTCCGTTGGGTTAACTCCCCGAATGTCTACCAAAAAGTAGAAGTGTTGGAGTCGGGAACCACTGACCCTAAAAAGATAACTAAGGTTTGAATGCATTGATTGATAGCTTTTGATTGAATGAAGAATTAAACGAATTATTTGATAATCAATATATAGTCGAATGTAATGTTGAATCTCTTAATCCAATTCAATTGTAATCCATTTTAATTAATACTCGCAATTTAAACACAAATGTTTTCGTATGTAATCTGAATGTAAATATATATTACACGCATATATTCCCTAACCACAGTTGTGTTAAATAAATAATTTGACATGAATTGTGATGTGATTTGGCTTTTATTTGATTTAATTAATAAAATAAATATTTTTCGTTTCGTTCTGTAGTGGGTTCAGGAGGCGGGCTCACCATCTCATAGCACTCCAATCAAAATAGAAACGCCCCACCAGTTTGCTCCGGTCAGTCTAGACCCGAGTGAGTTCAAGAGAAAACAGAAAGAGGTAAGTCTTGTGTCCAACCAATCGCTCATTCATTCAATGAACACAAATGGTTGCAATCACTCGACAGATGAAAGAAGTTCGCATTCAGAACAAGATATCGAGCGGACCTCAGAGTCATATACTGGAAGGGGTCACGTGGGAGGAGGTTAAGCATATGAACGAACAAAAATCTGGAGATCAGGTAGTCTTAGTGGGCGCCGCCTCTAAGGGCATAATTCAGCGCGAGTTCCAACACAACGCTATGGTCTATAAGAGCGCGTACGCCAAGAATCCGTTCGATAACGTCACCGAACAGGAGATCCAAGACTACAAGAACATTGTTGAGCGAAAGCAAAGGGGAGAACCAGGTTTGTCATACCAGTGATGGGCGTCTCCTCATTGCCCATAGA